AACTACACAGTTGTTCGAGTGGCGATTCGGAAGCATGTGCTGTGTATGAATTTTGGGGAAAAAACGTTACTAATACTATCGACAAGGAACTTGAAAATGAAATTCGCGAAGAAGCATCATTTTGGAAAATGGTTCTTCAAAGGTTATTCGATATCATACTTACCCTAGCAAAGAGTTCTTTGGCTTTGAGAGGACATCAAGAAGACTTAAGTCAGGAAGGATACCACGGAAGTTTTCTATCCTTTGTAGAGCTTGTCGCCCGATATGATCACATTTTCAGACAAGTTTTGCATATGCCCAAAGGTAATAATTATTTCTAAGTTTTTTATCGTTATATTTTGTTTATAATTATTAACTGTTTAATATCAGGACATTTTTTTTTATGTTTTTAGGATCTACAAGACATCTGAGTGCAACAATTCAAAATGAAATGATTGAGAGCTTGGGGACCAAACGTGAAACCCATCTACTAGAACAAATTAGAGCGTCACCGTTTTTTGCCATCTTAATGGATACAACACAGGACATATCGAAGGTTGATCAGCTAAGCATTGTTGTGAGGTACGCAGTAATAACCAGATCGGAAAATGGACAGCCAATTGATATAGAAGTAAATGTAGTGTTTCTGGGCTTTTATGCAGCCATCAAACATAGCGCAGTAGATTTAGTCAACCAAATAACAACATTATTTATCGACAAAAATATTGATTTAAAAAAATGTGTAGGGCAAAGCTATGATGGAGCCAGTGTGATGAGTGGTGTGTATAATGGTGTACAAAAACATATTAAGGATATCAAGTCTAACGCAGAGTACGTACATTGTGCCACTCATAATTTAAATTTGGTGATAAATGATGCCGTTAGCAGTTGTGTGGAAATATAGTTTTTTTTCGCAACGTTGCAAGATTTGTATAACTTTTTCGGAAACAGCATCAAACGTTGGGATCTACTGTCAAAATTCACTGGCGAATCAGACACCACTCTAAAAAAACTAAATCCGACTAGATGGTCCAGTAGAGTCAATACGATATCTAAAATAAAACTTCGTTATTTTGATATTATCAAAGCATTATCAGAAATAGATCTAAAGAGTCCTAATAAAGATGAGCTTAGTGAAGCAGAGAGTATTAAAACAAAAATGCTAAATTTCGAGTTCGTGTTGCTTTGCGAATTCATGCACAGTGTATTGAACGACATCAATTATGCATCCAAGACTTTACAAAAATGCGACATCAATTTGGGCGAGGCGATTAAAGTTTTAGCAGAGACCAAAGAAAAGTTGCAAATTTATAGAAATGATTTCGAATTATTCAAGTGCAAAGCCAGTGAAACTGCAAGAAAATATGGTATTGATACCCATTTTCAAGAAAAAAAGCAAATAAAAGTTAAAAGACATTTTGATGCATTAGCTGCGGATCAGCGATTTCCAAACCGAGAAAGAATATTTAAAATTGAGATTTTCAATAATGTACTAGACACAGTAATATCTCAATTAGATACACGTTTTATTGGTATGAGTGCAGTCTGTCATATATTCGATTTTCTAACACCAACATTTTTATTACATGTTGAAGAAGCAACTTTATTACAAAAGTGTAACGAATTCCAAAGAAAATACTCAGATATAATAGGCCCTAGTTTTTCACTTCAATTTATTCATATTTACCACCTAGTTTTACCTCAACTAACTCAAGCATAGTTCACCAATTATGTAAGGAAATAATGAGCAAATATGGAGTGCTAGAATGCGACCTAACGGAAGTATTTACAGCGATGTTATTATTTTTTACAATTCCTGTCACTTCTGCAGCAGCTGAAAGGTCATTTAGCAAATTAAAAATAAGTAAAAATTATTTAAGAAATAATATGGCCCAAACTCGACTCCGACATTTATCGCTAATAGCAATTGAAAACAAAACCGCATCAAGCATGGATTTAAACGAATTCATTGATAAATAAAACTAGTTTTTAAATAAAGTTTCGTGCATTAACCCGTAAAAAAATCGAATATATGACAGACTGCACTCATACCAATAAAACGTGTATCTAATTGAGATATTACTGTGTCTAGTACATTATTGAAAATCTCAATTTTAAATATTCTTTCTCGGTTTGGAAATCGCTGATCCGCAGCTAATGCATCAAAATGTCTTTTAACTTTTATTTGCCTTTTTTCTTGAAAATGGGTATCAATACCATATTTTCTTGCAGTTTCACTGGCTTTGCACTTGAATAATTCGAAATCATTTCTATAAATTTGCAACTTTGCTTTGGTCTCTGCTAAAACTTTAATCGCCTCGCCCAAATTGATGTCGCATTTTTGTAAAGTCTTGGATGCATAATTGATGTCGTTCAATACACTGTGCATGAATTCGCAAAGCAACACGAACTCGAAATTTAGCATTTTTGTTTTAATACTCTCTGCTTCACTAAGGTCATCTTTATTAGGACTCTTTAGATCTATTTCTGATAATGCTTTGATAATATCAAAATAACGAAGTTTTATTTTAGATATCGTATTGACTCTACTGGACCATCTAGTCGGATTTAGTTTTTTTAGAGTGGTGTCTGATTCGCCAGGGAATTTTGACAGTAGATCCCAACGTTTGATGCTGTTTCCGAAAAAGTTATACAAATCTTGCAACGTTGCGAAAAAAAACTATATTTCCACACAACTGCTAACGGCATCATTTATCACCAAATTTAAATTATGAGTGGCACAATGTACGTACTCTGCGTTAGACTTGATATCCTTAATATGTTTTTGTACACCATTATACACACCACTCATCACACTGGCTCCATCATAGCTTTGCCCTACACATTTTTTTAAATCAATATTTTTGTCGATAAATAATGTTGTTATTTGGTTGAATCTACTGCGCTATGTTTGATGGCTGCATAAAAGCCCAGAAACAATACCTTTACTTCTATATCAATTGGCTGTCCATTTTCCGATCTGGTTATTACTGCGTACCTCACAACAATGCTTAGCTGATCGACCTTCGATATGTCCTGTGTTGTATCCATTAAGATGGCAAAAAACGGTGACGCTCTAATTTGTTCTAGTAGATGGGTTTCAAGTTTGGTCCCCAAGCTCTCAATCATTTCATTTTGAATTGTTGCACTCAGATATCTTGTAGATCCTAAAAACATAAAATAAATGTCCTGATATTAAACAGTTAATAATTATAAACAAAATATAACGATAAAAAAACTTAGAAATAATTATCACCTTTGGGCATATCCAAAACTTGCCGCAAAATGTGATCATATCGGGCGACAAGCTCTACAAAGGATAGAAAATTTCCGTGGTATCCTTCCTGACTTAAGTCTTCTTGATGTCCTCTCAAAGCCAAAGAACTCTTTGCTAGGGTAAGTATGATATCGAATAACCTTTGAAGAACCATTTTCCAAAATGATGCTTCTTCGCGAATTTCATTTTCAAGTTCCTTGTCGATAGTATTAGTATCGTTCTTTCCCCAAAATTCATACACAGCACATGCTTCCGAATCGCCACTCGAACAACTGTGTTGTTTAATTCTTTCTGATAAATGCTTCCAATCTCGAATTTCCGGACACCAAACATTATTCCTTTGTGAAGCAAATAACCAGCAGGGTTGACAATAGGCAGCGTCTAATATTTTGGAATAACACAACCAAAAACGATTAACTGGCCCATATTTAGAACACGAAACGCTGTACGTTTTTTTTGTTTTTCAAAAAACACCTATTGTTCTGGTTGATGTCTTGTTCTGGTTGATGGTTGATGGAAAAGGTCCTGAAGGCTGTAAAGGCCCCATATCAAGAACTTGACGTTTTTAGTTATCTCATAATATTTTCATATTTACCACCTAGTTTTACCTCAACTAACTCAAGCATAGTTCACCAATTATGTAAGGAAATAATGAGCAAATATGGAGTGCTAGAATGCGACCTAACGGAAGTATTTACAGCAATGTTATTATTCTTTACAATTCCTGTCACTTCTGCAGCAGCTGAAAGGTCATTTAGCAAATTAAAAATAAGTAAAAATTATTTAAGAAATAATATGGCCCAAACTCGACTCCGACATTTATCGCTAATAACAATTGAAAACAAAACCACATCAAGCATGGATTTAAACGAATTCATTGATAAATAAAACTAGTTTTATTTAATGAGTGATGTGCGTGAAAACCTAAGAAACGAATTCATTGATACTTTTGCGAAAACTAAAGCTAGGAAAAAACTGTAAAAATAATTTTTACTAAGTCAGTTGGTAGGCCCGACCTTTAAATAATAAACCCTTAAATCTTCTCTATTTCGTTTTATTAGCCAAACCTACACCATATATTAATTGTAATTCATGTTGTTACTGTTTAATATTCTTATAACCTGCCCTGCAGTGCACAAAAAAGAGCTTAAGTAGCTTAGAATTTTCATTTAAGTATTTGTATATTTCATATTTTTAATTGATAAAACCTAATCAGTTAACATAGCAGTGGGGCCCCATTTTTTAATTTGCCCCAGGGCCCTTGGTTACCTAGCTACGCCACTGAACACGAGCGACCAATAAGGATCGGCTCGAAGCACGGTGCATATGAAGATGGAGAGGGGTCGGCGGGAGGGGAAAAAATTAGGTTAAAAAAAAACTTTTATTAAGTAATAATACTCCACAGCTTGTAACTTTTAATCAATTTTATACTTATTAATATTAAATACAAATTGTACAAAACATAATTACTACCTACAACTCGGCTTTGGTCAATGCAATGGTTTGGTGAAGTAGGTAGGTAACCTACATTCATCTTGATTAAAAATAAAGAAATTGTAATGAAATAATAAAACTAAACATGAATAAAATTATTCTAATATTTAACACTGAGAAACAACCTATCCACAAAATATAAAAGATATTAACCGCTGCTTTATTGTACACGTATCTAGTTTCAATAATCTTTCAACTTGGAACAAGAAGGATTAAATCTCAGTTTCAATAATCATACTCCAGTAAAATGTATGCCTAATATAAAATTTTTGTTGCCAAGATATTTTTATAATTTAAACTATAATAACAACTGTTGCTAAGTAACGGAACCGGAATATCCTTTTCTTTTACTGGAGCTAGATTTTTGAAAGTGATAGCGATTTGTTTACATAAAAAAATCGTGAATGAACGTTTTGTGTTTGTGCAAAACACAGCTCAAATAGGTAATCAAAACTGACACTTGGTTGGGCTTCCCATGTTAATGGATCCTTGCTGGGATCAGGACGCAAACGAGATCTTCCCCGCTCTCAGTCTTGAGCTCCCACTTCACATCTACCTTCACCTTGGGATAGGACTTTAGGACGGGCAGAGTCGTCCTATAGCTTGCTTTCTGGCCACCCTGAAATGGGTAAAAAAAATGTGGTTGAAACCAAAGATCCCTAGTCTTCATAAAAATCTGTGGAACGGTGGGTATGTTCAGTTTTCAAGGTGTCACTTACTCTGATCTGAGGTTCATATCCCGGAAGAGGCAAATGTTTGTATGATGAATGCGAGCCATTGTTTGTACCCGATACATGGCTGTTTATAATATGTTTTTCCACAAAATACTATGTATACATTATATTTATGTATTCTATCAGTTACTTGTGTTTACTTTGGGGCTTAGCTTGATAGGTATAAGATTATTTTTTTATTTTTAAGCATTTAACTGCTAGATGTTTCAATCTATTTTTTATTTTATTTTTATTTGGGAAACAAACAATATTTTATTACATTTAGATAAATTAAATATAGATTGACATACATCAACAAAGTTTCCACTAACAATTAGTACAGTTATGAGCAGCTGTGTATTTAATAAAAAATCATAAAAAGTTAAATTAAATTAAAATCTATATCAGTTTCTAAAAATCCTGCATGACCTTTTAGGTTGCGGGGGAAGAGGATGCCGGATGCCAGATGAGCCTATGTAAGTCCGGTGTACCTACTAGCTCTGCGGATGGTACTTGATTGATGATAGGGATGATGAGGGATACATTTATTTTTGACAACCTCCGTTGCCGTGTAGTATGATGTACGGTTTCAAGGTGTCGCCTACTCGTTCAACCACCCGGGTTCGAATCCCGGTGGGACAAATGTTAGTTTGATGATTACGAGCGTTTGTACCCAAGTCAAGGTTCATATGTATTTCTACATTAAAAAATATATACTTAATCTATTATAATTATTATATATGTATCAGTACGCATTCTAACCGTTACCCTAGTATCCCATAACAAGGCTCTCAGTGCTTACTTTGGGGCTAGGTTAATTGGTGTGAGTGTTGGAAATATTTATTTAATTACCTTTACAGGACAGGTCAGCCCGTTGTCTTTACAAGCGTCGGGCTGCGGAAGCGGGAACGGTACGGGCAAGTTCATAATCACACCGTGCACTTCTGTCTCGATGTTATTTACATCTTGGGCTGTAAAAATACAATGGCGATTTACCAAAATATTTTTTAATACTTTTTTTATGCATGAAACTGCTCTATTTATGAACGTAAAGAAAATTTTATTGGAAAATATTTCCACTCGGCCAAGTTATCATCCCTGGATTCGAAACAGAAACTTTTCGTTATCCGGGTAAATACATTAACTTCTATGCTTCGGTATTAAGTTAGCTAATCACATTCCAGCCGTGGTGTAAGAGTGGAGATGACCCTTAATTACCGCCTTAATTATGATGTGTGTAGACAAGCAGGGGCAATTCACATTTAGGAAATTGTCTAAGGCAGGCAGGAATGTGAGTAGCTGGCTTTAGAAATCTTAGTTTAAGCTGCAGGCAGCGCCACCACTTTTTCACATTGCAAGTAACTAAAGCCATACTAAAATTATAATACTAGAAGAACTTTGACATGTCCTTTCAAGTCTCGGTAGCAAGCGGTTACATATTCGACTGATTGCGAAAAGTGCGGATTCGTTTCCAGCCTCATATCTTCGAAATTGGAGATTTTCTGTATATTTAATCTTTACATATTTTATAGTTATGAAATGAATTATAAATGGGTATCTCTTTAAGCATATTGTAAATATAGCCTGGGAATCAATACCAAATTATTATATCTGTATACAATTTTAATAAAAAAATGTTTTAGGTATTTATTATATTAAATTTTTAATATTTTTTAAAGATAGGAATCGGGAGTTGAAACTGACAGTATATGCGCTTGGAAAAAGCCTTTAATAACATCTTGGATTCTCTTGTTTTGTAAGCGTATGTCATATGTCAAAATAATGGTATTTAACCCATGTATAATTACCAAAAATTTTAAAAATGTGTGATTTTATAAAACTACCAATTGTTGGTGATCACGTCGCATAGCGTAGAATATATAAAAAAATACATAATTGTGTATTGTCTCAAAATCTTTGCCTACAAATTTTAATAATATTGCGTAGTTACTATACCATCTTTATTTAAAATACTTATATAAAAATAGTTTTTTTTTATATTTATTAATGTGCATATTTTGGGAATTTCATGCGTTTTTAGTGCATATTTCGGTATTTTTTTAGTGTGTACCTATAACATATCACTATATTAATGCCTTTGTTTAGTGCATACACATTCTGGCACTTTTAGTCCAGTCATTACGTCGGAAAAATCGGGTTAGAAATGCAAATGAACCGAGAAAGCCAAATTTTGGATATTACGTGGGGGGTGGCTAGAAAAGCTTAAGTTCAAATTGTCGACCAAAAAAACCTTGTGGGTTTTCCGCCATCTTGAAAAAAGGGTTAAACTCAGTTTTTTTATCATACTTTTTTGTTACTCTTTGTACGATCTACAATTAAGGTCCTATACATTTTTCACGTATCGACCATCGTTGTCGAGATATTGATAAAAAAAGCCACAAATTTTGGGAGAAATTTTTTTTTTCAAAAAAAAAAAAATTTCGTTTTTCATCAAAACGAAGAAAAACGTGTGACAAAAATGACCACGTGTAAGATTATTATTTTTGCTGCATAAACATTTTTTGATTAATAAATTTCATGTGTTTGATTTATAATTTGGCTGGATTATTCATTTATTTTGTATAGCAATAAATCCCTTAACCAATAATTCATCAATTTTTACGTTGTGGATACAACTGTGCGAGCGGCTAAATCGAAACCGGGCACAGTCTTACTCACTTTGCGGCGCGCTGGAGGTCGTAATTTTTCTCGAAAATGAAAAATTAAAAAACGAATTTGTAGGTCTGAACAGGCTCTACAAGTTTTATTCGAAACATTTTTCGATATTTTTCGCGAGAAAGAAGGAAATAGCGAAAAAAAAAATCTCCCAAAATTTGTGGCTTTTTTTATCGATATCTCGATAACGATGGTCGATACGCGAAAAATGTATAGGACCTTAATTGTAGATCGTACAAAGAGCAACAAAAAAGTATTCTATAAAAATTTTCGTATCTCGACGGGGAACCGAGTTATGATAAAAAAACTGAGTTTAACCCTTTTTTCAAGATGGCGGAAAACCCACAAGGTTTTTTTTGGTCGACAATTTGAACTTAAGCTTTTCTAGCCACCCCCCACGTAATATCCAAAATTTGGCTTTCTCGGTTCATTTGCATTTCCAAATGTATATAATGACTGGACTATTTGTAAGTGCATCTAATCCGGTGTCTAGTCATTATTTATAAGTTAATCTTATTTTCAAATTCAATAATCAATAATTATGGGCAGCTACTAAACAGACGATGATTATTAGGCGTAGGATTGGCCCATGAGAAAGGTAAATTTGAATTATTAATTACTATGGATATTATGCAGGCTTTGAATGCCATGATATAGCCAATTACCGTAACAAAACAATACATGAATTATGCATAGAAATAAGACGCGGCGTCGTTGTCGTCGTAGTCGTCGTAGTCTTCGGAGAACGTTTCTGCACAAGGAGAGTGCTAAATTGCTTATCCCAATATGCAAATGAACTAGGTATGTTGCGGCAACTAAGTGAAATTATACCTCAGTATAATAATAATGCTTAAAAAATACTAGTTGAGTCCGGCAGGACAGGTAATTATTTGAAAAGCGTTCAACGTGCAATATTCTTGGCGAAATTTAATATTGAGTTTTTAGAAAATATAAAATTATTGCATTAACGAAGACATAATATCTATGAAACAAGTAAATTGCTATATAATTTTTCGAGGTAAGTATTTAATTTTTTGTCTCCATGGAAGTAACGGTGGAGATCTCTTTTTTTCTGTTCTGTGGTGTGGTGGAGAAGAGATCACGAAAATTACGAAACTAACTTACCGCTACCAAAATAGGTAAGAACAAACAGCTTAAATCATCATTTGCTAGTCCAATAATCAACAATATTAAATACCCACTAATATATAACCTCAGTATATAACGATATTAAACATTAGATATAAATATTGTTGCCAATAATGCTTAAATTGCAAATACCTACAAGAAATTAGTGCCAACGCTGGTTTCGCACGGGTTTATTAGTTCCAATTACTTTAAAATGTTAGATTAATGTTGAAGCAAGCACGATGAACTTTTTATGAATCTTTTCTGATATTGAAATAGGAAAGCGTTGGCGAATTCGATCACTTTTTCCAGTATTTCTATTGATTTGAATTGGTTTTTGTTTTACTCCCTATGTGTATCTCTTGCTACTAGACGAAATATGCACGGTTTGCAAATAAGGCAATTGCATTTTGCATTAACACCGTAAATTTGTAAAGATGTGTAATATAAATATAACGACAGTAAACAGTTATGGCTTATTTTTTGAGAGACACCGTCCCCGCATTGCTTCTTTAAAGAGTTGGTATGAACTGTACTTAGGTTTTGTTCTCGGGTTTATAATATAAAGATTTTATTTTAGATTATTCTTGACATATATATGCCAACTAATTATTACAATTATAAATAAAATATATTCATATAATTTATAGAATTACTTATTCGTTGCTACAATATGCTTTCTTGACCTTCCGTGAAAATTGATGATATTCAATTCAATTCAAAATTATGTCGTAAATTATGGCTTTATTGCGGCGAGGGACTGTAATATAAATTGGTATTTTTCATTTATGTTAATTAGTAGGTAGGTACATACTTAGCTGTGTTGTTATCAGATGGAATCCACGTAATGTATAATACTAATTTATACGTATTCTATTCCATGGCCAACGTAATCGCGGTTAAGTCATAAAAATAACATATAAAAATGATAAAAGATTATTATAATTTATTGTTTGCCACTAAAACTTGTACATAACCAAGTTGTAAGTGATTCAGATAGTTAGCCTTTTGAACGTAACGTTTGAAATTCAACTCTAAGGTAGGCACTAGCACTCAAGATAGACCCACTTTCTAAATTTCATACTTTTATTTGTTCGAATTACATGAAATTTCACCCGCATCAGTCGAATTAGTAAATATTATAGGAAGCAATATTTTTCAATGTAAATTGTTTAATAATTTTTCGATTATTAAATATTGTTCGATGATCGTTAGAATAATAGCAGAAAAATGTTCTTATAGGAATTTTATTTCACGACTTTTATTTTATACTTATGTAGAATCAGTTTTGCTAACCCTAATATAGCCCACAGTATAATTGTTTTCCAAAAAAAATTTTTTCAGGCATAATACCTAAGAATATCATAAAGTAAGGTTAAATTTCACATAGATACATATTTTTTGCGTGGCTATCCACAACCGTGAGTTTTTGTCGAAATTTTTTCCCACGAACGACAAAACTGTGGAATATATTGTCGCCAGCAGTGTTTCCGGACCAAAAACCTTCAAAAAAAGAGCGTACTCCTTCCTTAAAGGCCGGCATCGCATTTGTGATACTCCTGGTGTTGCAAGTGTCCATGGGCGACGGTGATCACTTACCATCAGGTGAGCCGTCTGCTCGTATGCCCCCTATAACATAAAAAAAAACCACAGTGTAATAAAAAAAATGATTTATTGTATCGATCTTTACAAAATAGATTTGTTTTTATGTTATATAAACAACTTCGATCAGTCTTTGGCTGAATGTTACTACACCCATAGCCATTAAAAATGATTCGTATTTTTTCAAAACCGGTAAAATTAAAAGTCCTTTTTAAAGTAAATATATTATACAAATGTCCGTTGAAGTCTAATGACTGTAAATTAAATTATAAATTACGCCAAGAATTACCGTGTATGTCAATATTTTTTGTGCATTTGGGCCAATTTGAGCAATCTCCTTTATCAAATATGTTCATTTGTATGTAATTATTATTTAGAAATAAAAGAATAATATTGTGATGTAGTTTGCTTAAATAAATGATTTAAAACATTTTTATATAATAATTAATAATCTCAACCTATCTACTGACTGGGCCTTACAAGGTGCCCCTACCTTATAGTTAATTGATTGATTGATAATATAGCTCGCACTCTATCGCCAAAACATCCGTCTCATACACTCATACTGGTTGACTGGTAGAGAATGCCTATGTCATTAAGCCCGCCATTTACTGTATTTTAATAATAAAGCATATTTTTTTTGCATCATTTGTATAGCCACAATCCCCTGTGTGTACTATGTAGTGATGTCCACTCTTATACCTAAAAATTGAAATTAATCACGTTAAGAGTTCATGTCACGACCCCAGGGCACGCTATCACTTGTCGTAAACAAACAACTTCGATGAACAAAGGGTTAATGTTTTTAGTTTTTATTTTGCATCTTTAAATTATTAAAAACAGGTACAGAGTTTTTTCATCACAATAGGTGTTGGCTAGATCTTTGTTGAAGTACATTTTATACATGACTATACCATATTTTTATACAAGGCACTTTACCCCGTCTGGGTAGTGGGTAATGGGTATGTATCTATAAAGTAGCGAGATTTTATGATTAATATGTATAGGTATTATTGTTTATAATAAATGATGTCACTTACATTTATTAAAATCTTAAAATGTAAGATATGATATTTGATTAGAATAACAAGTAAATTCTTACATGGAGTGAAGTCAATGCTGATGGTGGCATTTGAATTTCTTTTCAAGATGCATTCTTTAGCGTCATCCGCACACCCACTCACGCCCACGCTGTCCACTGTTGCCAATTTGGAACCTGAAAAAATTAAGAAGACAATTCAATTACTCATTCATCAAGCATGCCATTTGTTTTCTGCAAGATTTGATCCAGGGATGCTAATAATTTTAACAATTTGGATCAAATGTTTGTAACTTTTTTTTATGGTGGCACACAAGCATATGGCGCGCCTGATGGCAAACCACCATAACCTATAGACGCTTGCGATACAAAAAATATCCGTTGCTTACTCTGACCCAATACTCCTTACGCCGTGGAGCCGTTCCAGGCTTATTGACCGACAAAAACACAACACCGCTAAACGGTAGTGTTTTATTACTGTGGTCTTCTTTACTATTAAGGTGGAGGTTACTTCCCCAGGCGGGGCACTCCAATCAGTTTGACGAAGAGTAAGATGCCTATAGATATAGTATATTATAGAAAATGTATTTTTTTATATAAAAATATCATTTGTTATGTAGGTAGGTACTGCGGCGATCTACCCTGAAGGGGTAGGCCCTGGGAGCGTAACTTTATCAATGAAAATTACTCAGGCGAATATAATAATTGAGCTTAATCTATCAACGTATGATTTGGTGCCTGAAGCCTATCTCATGGAGAACCTTCTATCAAACGACAGAAGATTCCCAATTTCAAATTTTCCCTTCCCGGCTACTCCAGAAATACTTTTAGCCCTTTCCTGTTTCCTTAGTCTTTTCATTGACAGACATACCCGAAGAGGTATAATAATTTACTGGTGACTTGCTACACTGCGCTTTGTTTAGTTGTTTCATTTTGAAAGTGAAACCTCTTTTCGGACGGGGTGTAAATGGAAAAATCCTACGGAAAAGATGAAATGGGAATGCGTCACGAGCGGTACGAGATGCAGCTCTTCCCAACGAGCATAAAAGTTGAAGGGTAACTCGGCAAAGGCTGAAACGTCACGAGCGTCACACGCGACAATATTATATACATATTTATGAATGATGCGTGCGCTGCTCCATTCCCCTATGCCTTATGCACCGCCTAATGTTAAGTTATTTAAGAAAAGAAGTTTCACTTCGGATGTGTGGTTCGTGCACTCTAATTTTTTGCTACGTTACTTGAGTTAAATATATAAAAAAATCGCATCCAATTCGGTCCATTCGTTATGGAGCTACAATGCCACAGAGTGACACAGATACACAAACACGTGAAAATAACAAGCCTCTTTTTTAGTCGGGGTTAAAACTGCAAAGAGCATTTATTTTATATTAAGCATAGATGTGTAAAAAAAAATTCAAAATAACATTTATATTAAATTTAAATCAACCGGGATAAGGTACTTTTTTCAAGGGTTCACCATTTACTATAGTGAGTAATATTTTTTTAATTTAATATTGAAATAGATACTAAACAACAGTTTTTTTACCGAGCGTAGCATAAACTTACTACGCTTTTTACAGTTCATTATTAGATTTTATTATCCGTCGGGGAGAAGATGAGCTCCTTTGTATCCGTAATGGCAACCAATGACATTTTTATGCCGTTGTTTTTGTAAAATATACACCTAATCTTGTAGTAAAAAAACAACGGACAGGTTCGAGCCGGACTCGCCCAACGAGGGTTCCGTACAAATTTTTAGGTACGTAATATTGACGGCAGTATCTTTTCTTTACGTTTACTTGGAACTGCGATTTTTTCACAGCTTCAAGGAATCGTAGAATTGAGTATATGGTTTAAATTTCAATTCGATACCTCCAGGCTTTCCCTCGTTAAAGGGTCTAGACAGACAAGCGGAAAGACAACAGCAAAGGGATATAAGGGTTAGGTTTTTTTTCCTTTTGAGGTACCTACGTAAAATTTAAAAATTCGATTTATTTACTTTTATGTAATTAAATAAAATAAATTAAATTGGTAGATATGTATTGAATAATTAAATTAAAGACAGCCATATTATTAAGACTACTGGCACTGGCCGTCTGTCCGTCTATCACCAGGCAGTAACTATCTCACGAACCGTGATAAGGGGGCGTCCATAAATTACATGAGATGTTTAAGGGGGGGTCGAGTCAAATCTCATATAATCTTACGTTGGAGAGAGGGGTCTTGGCAAATATCACGCATTTTTTTTTCTGATTGAAACAAAAATAAAATATTTTGGTCCATTTAATCCAGATTGTTGTACATGCTTAAGATTTAATCTTAAGCGTAATCGTAATACGAATAAGATCGTTCGAAAGAAAATAATTTCATTATACATGTACTGAGTGTCAATACGATTTAAGTATTCTATTGTTAAATTTTTATTACACTTATAACTCTCAGCAATATTGATTACTAGTCTTAACTAGTCGTTAATAAAAGCACGAAGCAAATTTTTCTTTTCTATTTACAATAACTATCCAACGCGTTTACGTAAGAAACCCACATTTTGAAAAATCTCACGTGAGATTGGGGTATGGCGGAGAGGTTGAATAAAACCTCACTAGACAGTTTAAATTCTCATATATATTATAAGTCAGTATTTATGTTGCCGCTATAACAACAAACACTAAAAAACTTTTTCACAAAAAATAAATCCGCTGAAAAGCAAAATGCCAACCTAAGTAGTAAATGGGAACTCAGATTGATAGATAGCATGCATGGCACCGACTCCAAATATTAATTTGACTTAAGGTAAAAAAGGTAAATTATTTTTGGATTTTCGGCGGTTTAATTTTTTTATGAAAAAAATATTATTTTATATTTTTTGTGGTTATGATTCTTATAATAAACAAAAACTCGGCATCAAAATACGTGAGTGAACAATCATCCCTAATTTGCCATCCTTAGGGTCGGTTTTTTCCATATTTATACGAAACCAACTTCGAAGTATACCTTTCCCAACAAATAAAAGAATTATGAAAATCGGAATACTCTGTAAAAAGTTATAGGTGATCATAATAGGTTGGGGGAAAAGTCTTTTCGCATTATAGTATGTATGAACTTGTAATAAAATCTCTTTGGCTATACTATAATTTGTATCTGGTGGGTTTTGGTATCATAAAAAAGTTTAAATTTTAAGGAAGATAATTCCTAAAACAAATTAGAAAAATGTGTGATTTTCTTTTGTTTTTCTTACTGTCAAGATGAGTGAATCTAATGTCGATACATTTTAAATTTTTACTACAAAAAAGGTATTAAAGGCAGGCCGCGCACTATTTGTTATCTTTTTGGACTTAGTGCAGTGCCTGTGAGAGTAGCAAAAATTTGGTTTAAAAGTTTTAAATCCGGAAAATTTGATGTCAAAAATGCACGTCGCTCTGGTCAATCTGTTACGGATAAAATGGATGCCATTTTTTAAAAGTGGAGCAAGATCGGCATCGCACTAGTTACGACGTAGCTGAAGAACTGGGAATTGACCACAAAATAGTTTTGGCGCATTTGAAAAAAGCTGGGTACACAAAAAAGCTCGATATTTGGGTGCCTTTGGTTGGGGTCTCTGAAAGAAACCTAATAAACCGTGTACTCATTTGTGATTCTTTATCACGATGTAATGAAACCGAATCATTTTTGAAGAAGCTGATGACTGGTGATGAAAAGTAGATCACGCACGACAAGAACGTGCGAAAAAGCTCGTGGTCAAAGGCCGGTCGGGCTTTACAGACTCTGGCGAAACCCGGTTTAACTCGCAACAAGGTGATGTTGTGTATATGGTGGTATTGGTAGAGAATTATTCATTATGAGCTGTTGGCGCCAGGCGGGACGCCTGGATTCTGAACTCTACTACGAACAATTGATGAGATTAAAGCAAGAAGTTGAGAGATAGAGGCCGGAATTAATCAACGGAAGGGGTGTGGTTTATCACCTATATCTATACTTTAGTTAAATGTAAATCATTTAACATCATTTAACATTTAAACTATTAAAAAATGTTTTTAAATTTCATATAATGTGCGAAGAAACTTTTCCCCTCACGTAATACATAAAAAAAATATGCGTCGAATTGATAGCATCCTCCGTTTTTGCTCGATATTATATAAAAGTGTCTTATGTTGGACAGATAAACGTAATCCTTCGTGCGAGGGTCCGACTCTCACTTGGCTGGTTTTTTCCGAGCTTTATTAGTTAGTACCAATTCATATGCTAAGTAAGCTAACCTATACCTATTCATATTATTACACCTAAACGATTTTATAATCTGCCAAAGAGAAGTAATCTTTTACATAAAAAAGCGTCAAGGTTCATACACAAACACAAAGGAGCTATTTTCGAGCGAAACTGCCGATTGTCATTTTAATACCGAATGGTTTAAATGAAATTCGGTAACACCACGTAAAGGTACGGTCAGACGGCGTGTGTGTCGCGCGCGCGGACGCGCCGAGCAGGGTTGTCAAACGTATGAGAACTGTAACGTTTGATATTTAGCAGTCCCTATACATGATACGAGGTAAACAGAAATCTCGTACACTTTGATATGGGATTTGAACAATGTTGACTGTTTGTATACTGTACACAAACCAAAATAAATAAATATCCAGTCCAAAAAGGATCGACTCATTAAGTACAGCTTCATTATGCCATCACAAAGTGTATAATATTTATATTTACCTCGTTAGAGTTCTCATACGTTTGGCAACCCTGCGCGGCGCGTCCGTGCTGCGCGTAAACACACGCTGTCTGACCGCACCTTAATATGAAGCGTAGGTGCTGCGCAAATTCAAATGAGAAACCGTATTTAATGGTGGATTTTCCATGTTTAATTCAATATACAGAGAAGGGAGATGCTTGGACTGAAATGAAAATATTGAGTGTGCCGCAGCTAAGTTTCATGGGTTGGTTGTGCTGATACTTAAAGGCTGATATGGCTAGGGAGGGGTGTATTTTAAAATCTTGCCGTAGATTTGCGAACCGATGGCGTGGCTCCTAGACATTCATGAGTGCCTGTTACAGCCTAAACTGAATGAACTGTTTTTGAATTTGAATCAGATTCTCAAAAAAAAATTGAATTATAAAATAGTTGTCTGAAAAGTCGGTTTATGGACGATAATTTACGTGATAACGTGTCCTGCGCTGTTTTCCTCGGGGCAGTTATATGGGGCTTTTTTCCGATTCGTTTGAGCCCAAGCAATTCAGGGGGTCATTCGACTTCACCTCACACACACCGCGGAACGTGACCCTTTTTTGTGCGTGCAGCCGGTGTTCTTCGATTTAGAAGCCGTTATCACGACAAAAAAGAATTAACGCGGGCGAAAACGCGGGCGGCTGCTAGTCCTGTATAAGATAAATTACTTCCTCAGAAAGAACTGCAAACGGCTTTCTTGCGGGTAACGTATTCTGTCCTAAATTACTTATTGTATAGTTGTCATGTTAACTGAACACCCTACAACTGAAACTAAGTTCTGCGGGAGAACTTCGGGTTGAGTTCAGCTGCTGTGTCGCTCCACCGACATACGTAGACTTGCTTAGCCTGTAATGAAAATCTTACTTGTGTCGAAACATATTGTATTCTATGTCCAAACCGCCAAATAATAAAGTATTTTGTAAGTCTATTTTTTGAAATTATACACGTGTGAGAAAAGTAAAATTTTGATAGTTATTGTTCTGCGGTAAATGTGCCTTGTCGTCATGGTTGAATGTGTTGTGATGACATTTTATTTTAACAGGTTAACATGGGTACGTTTTGGCTGGTAGGGTGTTACCAAGAATTCCGTAAATAGCATTTTATTCAATCAATAAGTGGTTTAAATCTGCACCTAATCCTAGATAAGCTTTCATACTTTATTTAAAATGCACTTTGGAATTTGGAATAAAACGGTTTATGTCTAAGTTGCCATCTAAAGATTTAAATCTAAAGAGCTAAAAACCTTCTTGTGGTGTAATAATAACAAGGCATACAAGGATCGAAGTTTCAAAATGATGTCCTAGTTTCGAATCAGAATTCAAAAACATTTCCAATTAATATTTTCAGTGGAGGCGTTCGCTTCGCAAAATCATCTTGGGAATTGTTTCAATTTCTATTTGTTTTTCGTTAAAACCTCCTTTGTTCGATTCTGCGGACGAAACAGGAACGACGCAGCGAATTTGGGTCAAAAGTAATTATTTTATTAGGTATATGCAACTACATTGCCAATGCTACTAGTTTTTAGAGTTAACCCAAAGGGTATCAATGAAACCCTATTATTACTCAGTTTCCACAGCTTACGCTGTCCATTTGTCCGTCTTTCTGTCAGTGTAAATCGTGATAAGTAGGTGTTAGCCGATCTTTTCAAATGCTTATAATTATACTCTTTATAATCGTCGTCAGAGTGAATTCGTATAATTATTGGGTATTAAGTGGGAGTGAATTCTTCTGAGTAGTTCAATTGATTTCTCATACAAACTTCCACCTCTTAAAAGGATGATTTCTGGTAAACTGTCCCTGTCCCTTCCCGGAACTCAAACTTTATGTATAGAAAATTTAATCTAAACAAGTTCACAGTTTAAGCATGAGAGAAGATATATTTTCGCATTTATACTATTAGTATGGATTAATAAACGTAGGAACAACTTGGATTTAACTTTAACGTTTTAACCTTGATACCTAAGAGGGGTTTCGCAGTTGTTTTAAAAACGAGTACACGTTTTAATGTTTCTCGTTTTCGGCGAGAATTCCAAGAAATTAATCAATTGCGTTTAGTGTGAATTTATTTTTTGTGTTACAGTTTCGCTAATTACAAGAAAAAAACATTCAGCACCTGCCATGTAACAGGAGGTGAAACCACTGAAACACAAACATCAAAACTTCGCAATAATTAAAAGTAAGTTTGTTTTGGCGCAATATACCAGAACAAACGCCACTCGCTTGCCTTATCCACCTAAAAAATCTATTGTGTAACACCACCAAGTTAAAATTCCTAATAAAATTTCCTTTAGCCGCGCAGCTAAAGGCTTCATGGAAATCTAGGACCTTCTTAGATTAAGCTGACAACATAAATACCGATTCTGATGCTAAGTGGATTCACCATAGTTGATATATATAGCGAAGACAAAAGATTAGATCCATCTTATATAAAGTCTTAAAGGATTTGAGCTAGGTATGGCACATTTTCACGTTTTTTTTAAATATAGAGTTTTATTGATTAGACGTCGACCGATATCGATCTGTTTTAGGCACAAGCCAATATTTAGTTTTTGGTTTCTCACATAAAATTATGATGACTTAGGTCCACTATCTTATAGGTAAGTGATTTCTGATTTTAGCTATGTATCTACATATTTTTTACATTTTATTTTTTGCTAAATCATAAAAAAGTGGAGGAGGATGCTCTTAGGAAAAAACAAATAAATCCTATATTTATATTCTGTTAAAAAATATTGGACTTAAAATAAAGTGGACAAGTTTATAGTCATCTTGAAGCCTTGACAATATACATAGTGCATTCGCACGTTGTTCGGGTTCTTGTATTTCAAAACTGTAACATTGTCAGTGTCACATATATGACATTTGCATGAAACAAAAAATCCTGTATGTTTATAACATACTAGCTGACTCAGCGAACTTCGTACCGCCATAAAAAAATTTAATTAAAAAAACATTGTCCAGCGGACAAAATTGTGAATCTAAACCATTCTCAGATCCCCTTGAACACACACAAAAAATTTCATCAAAATCGGTCCAGTCGTTTAAGAGAAGTTCAGTGACATACACACTCACAGAAGAATTATATATATAAAGATAATGACACATACAAATCATTGCACAGGTTGTAGTAAGTATCAGTAGTTCATATAACTAGTTATTTTTAATGAACTAATATTTTAAGTAAGATTTGACTGCTTTTAACAGTTATTTGTTTTTCAAAACGTAGTCGTCAAACTCACCAGAGAACATGTTAAAATTAATATTTCTCCAGTCCAGTTGACCAAAACAAATAGATATATAATATTTTTTAAGCAGCTTATCAGATAGCTGATACCATCCCGTTAAAAGTCAAATCAGGACGTGTCAACTACCTCTGAAAATCGGGACATCTCGCTTAAATTGGGACACCTGGCAACCCTAGAATGAATGAATGTACATGTTGTACAAAAAAAAGTTACATAGAATGTAACCATAACATGAGGAATTTAGACTCTGCACCAAATATGTATTGTAACTACTTGATCTTTATACCTATATGTACATACCTATAGAGGTATGATTTTGTATAGAATAGGTTTGTTGCTTACAACATTTTTAAAATTTGCTTTGCAGAATAACTACTTCCACTACCACTAAAATATAAGTACCTATTAAAAAACAAAGCGAAGGGAATGGTACACTAGATTATTCTCTTATCATATCACTATACACTACAATGTTGTATGAAGAGAGCTATGCAATTCATACACAACATATCCTTCGTTGCGCAGTTGAACAAAAACGCACCAATGACTCATATCATTATTGATGTAATGAAGGTTCGTTCCTCATCGTCCTCTCCAGAACTTTAATTTGTCACACACAATAGCGATTACCTAAAAGTGCAGAGGTATAAGGTTTAGAACAACAAAAGTGATTGAGAAAAAAGTTTATACCACAATCAGTGTAGAACTTGGCTTGAACACTGGCCATCAGCAACGACACTGCTATTAAAAACAACATTTTTCGTTTTTAAATTTGACAAATTCGCGCGCTAACGGTGTTACGACTCGCGCGTCGGTGACAGACTGACCGATCGGATGGACTATGTATGTGTAGCGACCTTTATTGCCTTATAACATGCGCGGGCGCAGGTCAAAGAATTATAATGCTGAGTAGAATGGTACTTTGTCATTCATCAATACACATGGTTACTAACTTTATATTAATATTCGTTATCGGGGACTCGCAAAAAAATAAGGTAACTAACCTACATGAAAGCCATTTCGTTAATGAAATTGTAGCGTCAGTGTAATTTTTAACACGCTAAGTTCACAATTAACAGCTGACATTAGTTAAGAAGATGTAAATATCAATAATCTATGCTCTTAGTAATCTAGAGACACACTGGTTGTTTGGTTTCTCATCTGCCGTCACTAAGGGCCAAACCATAATAGGTATACTGTGTTAAGATTATTTATAACAGTTGATTTATCCAATTGTACCATTCTCTGCTGTCATCGATAACTGAACACGCAGAATAAAAAATATTATTTGCCATTTTAATGGACCCTACCTTATTATTTTATTCCAAAAAAAGGACCGCTCAGACCCGGTCAACCATCGGTTATAGCTGTCACCTCATTAAGGACTCTTTCAAAGACCTTCTATTATACTATTTTTTTTAATTAACTGTAAAAGGCAACTCACAGTCAATAAAACCTCTAAACTCAATATAATCTTTGACTGTAACCGGAAGAGCATCGTACTTGCAGACCATACGCATGATTCAGGAAAATGGACGTATATTGCAAATACGTTCTACTCGACTGACACTGATGTAAACAAATATGAATAATGTCTAATCAGCGGCCGTGCCGCGCCGCTCATAAAAACTGAAGTCACACAGTATTTTTTTATTGACTGAAGTTTAACTGAAAAGTCTTGTGGCCCCTGAAACGTCCCGCCGGACCACCTGTACCATTAGGTAGAACCATTGATGGTGTATTGGAATCTTTAAGCGCACTGATTACCGTGCAAAGATTTTTTTTGTTTATCATAATCATCAGGCTATTAATATACTTACCTATATTACGAGGGTACAACTTGCTTATGGATGGAATAAGAAAATTTGCCAATGGAAACCTTCTAAAACACGGAGAAGCTTGAGATAATGTTTGGTCACACATCCTACGACTACAATCTAGGTGCAGTATATTTAGACCAGGGTCGATAATTTTTGAGACCAAAAAAAATTATAGTAGGATGAAACCCATTAGAAAAGGTAGAGAATATAACAAAAATGAAAGGAAAAATAAATTACGGGCGATCTGAGGTCGGGAAGGGGGAGGGGGTGAGTTTTTAAGGGTAAAAAATGGTTAATCTCGATTTCCGGTAAAACTGCAAGTCCTATGAAAAAAAGTTAAATGGCAAAGTTGTAGGTAATAAAAAGATCTACAACTTTTGTATCGACACTTTTTTCACATAACCTCAAAATTTATGTGAAAAATGCGAACAACCGAGTTTTTGGTTTTTGATTTTTTTTTTTTCAAAAAAAAAATTTTTTCACGAAATTTGGTGAAAACTTACCTTTGTATGTCCCAAACATACAGTAATTTTTTTGATTTAAAATATTCATTTTTTCACCTTATTTTGACTTAATATCGAAAAAGCACCCTTATTTTCAATCGAAAATTCTCACGTCAAAATATCTGCCATTTTAAAAAAGTTGGGGTGTTTTTTGTTTGTTGAAATCTCTAGTTTCTGATGGTATAAAAAAAATATACACTACTATGGTAAATGTTCTCAGAAACTGCAAATTAATAATGAAAAAAACTCCAATCCGAAAAATTGAAATGAATCATTATGTATAATTTTGAACTATTTATTAAAATTTACACATTAATTACTCGAAAAACGTAAGATTTCATGTTATATTGATAAACAGAAAAATTACAAATCCATAAAACATGCAAAAATAGTTGTTGTAAGTAGGTATTAAAAATAGGATTTTCGGATTGGAGTTTTTTTCATTATTAATTTGCAGTTTCTGAGAACATTTACCATAGTAGTGTATATTTTTTTTATACCGTCAGAAAGTAGAGATTTCAACAAACAAAAAACACCCCAACTTTTTTAAAAAGGCAGATATTTTGACGTGAGAATTTTCGATTGAAAATTAGGGTGTTTTTTGGATATTAAGTCAAAATAAGGTGAAAAAATGAATATTTTAAATCAAAAAAATTACTGTATGTTTGGGACATACAAAGGTAAGTTTTCACCAAATTTCGTGAAAAAATATTTGTTTTTGCAAAAACTAAAAATCAAAAGCCAAAAACTCGGTTATTCGCATTTTTCACATAAATTTTGAGGTTATGTGAAAAAAGTGTCGATACAAAAGTTGTAGATCTTTTTATTACCTACAACTTTGCCATTTAACTTTTTTCATAGGACTAGCAGTATTACCGGAAATCGAGATTAACCATTTTTTACCCTTAAAAACTCACCCCCTCCCCCTTCCCGACCTCAGATCGCCCGTAATTTATTTTTCCTTTCATTTTTGTTATATTCTCTACCTTTTCTAATGGGTTTCCTATGGGTTCCTACTACATTTTTTTTTCACTTTTCACCATTTTTAAAATTATCGACCCTGATCTAATTATTCGAACCGGCTTCCTGACCTTATTTCCTGAATGTGAGTATGTAACATTTTTTAATTTTACATTAGGTAAGATTTAAACTTGACATTTGTGAAAAGTCATCGCAGCTGTTAAGCATAATTTACGCTACACCGTGTCGCGACCGGGCCGTGCCCCGTCCGGGGCACGGTCAAACATTATGGTATACTTTTTGTATGAAGTAAAGGATGATTCACGCTACACCGTGTCGCGACCGGGCCGTGCCCCGTCCGGGGCACGGTCAAACATTATGGTATACTTTTTGTATGAAGTAATTCAAGCCTGACCGTGGCTCGGCCGTGCCCCGTCCGTGCGCTGCCGGGTCTCGGCCGGGGCACGGTATTGAAATGTCGGTGTGTATTGTTTCCCGGATCTGGCACAGTCCGGCCCCGACACGTTGTAACATGAACATATCCGCCCGGGCGCCCGCAGAGCAGTCAACGTCAAATCTTAGTGAAGTGAGCAGCTCAACAGCAAAATGGACGATGAAAATTATTAGAATGTGTGCAAATTCTCCTTCTGCTTCTCGCTTTCTCTAGGTTGGATGTACACCCCATCTTCTTTACGTAGTTTCGCTTCGTTTTTTCAATACTTCGCCATCGATGGCAATTGCAATAGCTGGCAATTCAAGTTGTGAAAATTGCATATTTACTTAAAGCGTCACGACTATCGACTGATGAAATCACTAGTTGACACAAAACACTTATCACACATACGGCCGTGCAAAGAATACATGTAAACAGCCCGGTGTAGCATGAATGATCGGCCCGGTAGGCGCACGGTGGACGTGCTACCGGGTGGAGCCCGGCCCGGTCGCGACACGGTGTACCGTGAATCATCCTTAATTCATGCGGTGCACGGCCAGGGCACGGCCGAGTCACGGTCAGGCATTAATCACTTCATACAAAAAGTATACCATAATGTATGACCGTGCCCCGGCCGGGCCCCCTGCCCGGTTGCGACACGGTGTAGCCTGAATCATGCTTTACGCACACGAAAGATTTAATTATTTTGGACTACTTGGAACTGAGGTGCGTGATCGATTCCCAATCTTCGTTTCCTATTCAACGATGAAAAGGATTAACGGAGTAATTTATCGTGTGAATGCTTACTAAGAAAGTCTCACTAATCGCAACACATATCAAAAGGAATTCAACTACTGCCGCACACTCTATAAATAACGTGCGAAGTTGCGAATACAATTCATTGTGTTAAGTTGTTCTATTCGTATGTCGCACGAGTTTATTTGACACACTTACCTAAATGGTAATGAATTTATTTTTCTAACTACTAAAAGGCCACCGTTACTGACTGAAATTTGGCACATATATAGTATAGCTATTATGAAGTAGGCGTGCGCTAAGAAAGGATTTTAAAACTCAGCTCCTAAAAGGATAAAACGGGGGTTCATAGTTCCAAAACTCACTTTTTTAAAGGGTTAAGAGAAAATGCGAGTTGAGAGACATTTGAGAAATAGGTATTTGAAAAAATTACGGCTGTCGCACATTGGCAAATACTGTCCGACAGGCACAACAGTATCTAATGCTGAAAATTGTGTATAAAAATTGCATAGTCTGTAACGTACCTTAATATGGTTTCGACTCATGGTTTCGATTATCATAGGTTCCATTTCGCACATTTTATCATATAACATCATCGATATTCATCAGGCATCATCATATATTTTATCATTTATTCCTGGAAACACATAATTTCAAAAATATCACACACTATTCATCACTTTGTAAATACGTATAATAATTTCTTCTGTACTGAAAATCACTATTCCAGAGTGCTGGACATTTACCGGCATTGGATATACTGTACTTCCAGGGCCCAAAAGTAAAAACTTCACAGTTTTGTTGGTTGTAATTTCGCATTTTTGTTGTTAAAAAGGTTTCTGTTAACCACATTATTAAAAAAAATGTCACACTTATGCACTGGTAGTTTTTTAGAAAAAAATATTGCTAATAATTTACTTTTCTTATCAAGTGGTGATACTTCACACTAGGTTAGGTTAGGTTAGTGTTGTGACCATAACGCGCGAGCCGAGCGAGCAAAGCGAGCGTGCCGCGGAAGCGGCCGGCGAAGCGCCAGAAAAAAAAACTGTTAAAAAGACCTTTTCTACAAAAAAAAACAAGTATCACCTTTTGGGCCCTGGAAGTACAGTTTTACCCCGGCATTTCTCTTTATTCTGTTATTTACTTGTTTTCACTTATTATGCTTTGATTTTATCTATATTTAATTTATTTATTTTATTGACATTTTATGACAACCTAATGTTTTTTATCCGTTGCCATGGCTACCCATGACACGGATACTCTCTCCAACTACGTCTATGACTATTCAACCTCCACAGACCACTTACTTTGATTCTTTTTGGCTCGATTCGAACCGTGTCTAA